AAGCTCACCTGGGGGATGCCTTGCTTTGTGTCTTGGCTCTGTGCAGGTAGCTCAGCTAACCTGTTCTGGTCAAGCAGCACAGAGCAGGAGGTTACCGGGCTGGGTGGGCTGAGATGGGAGCTCTGTTGGAGGTGGGATGTTTCACCTTGCCTTTGCGATGGAGAGCTGTCCTTCTGCCTGGAGCAGAAGTGGGGATGGTCAGGTGTTGAGGAGGGCACTGGATGGAGCGTGAAGGGGTGAACACATAGACCAGGGCTCTGCATCTGACTGACCCTTAATCCAGCCCGAAGCCCTGTAATGATCCTTCTCTTGGCACTGGTGTTTCTCCTCCTCTACCCCATCACACTGAGGAGCCTCCTGCTACCGGAGGAGCGGAGGGCGGATATCTCCGCAGCAGCCACCTTCCTTCCTCCCAGCCTCCACGTTGGTTAAGCCTCGCTGCAGGCAGCACCTCTAACGCTCCCTGTCCCTCCTGCTGTCCCCAAGGACCAGCAGGGCTCCCATCCGCTCCACCGGCTCTCTGCCGCGAGCGGTCTCGGCATTCACCGAGAAGCAGGCTGGCTGCCGTCACGGCTCGGGCCACCCCAGGGGCTCAGGACCCACCTCGAGGTGCCTCCCGCCACCACGTACACCCAGGTAATGCTTTTTTCTCTCTCTCAGTGTATTCAGCCAAGCGGGGCAGAGCCAGCCGGCGCCTGCTCAGCAGGGCATGTACAACAACATGAGCATCACCGTCTCCATGGCGGGAGGAAACACCAACGTCCAGAACATGAACCCCATGGCCGGACAAATGCAGATGAACTCGCTGCAGATGCCCGGGATGAACTCCATGTGCTCAGAGCAGGTCAGTGCCATGCCGTCCCCGCTCCTGGGATGGTCAGACACCTCCCAGGCGTTCAGCGTTTGTTTCTCTGGCCTTGGGGGTACCGGTGTCCAAAGGGGGAAGCAGCAAAGGTCTGGCTGCCTCCGCTGGCATTGCCGCTGTGCTGGAGCCCAAGGCCGCTGGCGTCCCAGAGTGTCCCGTGTGTCCTTGGGGGGTGCGGGGACGTGCCAAGCATCTCCAGCACCTGCAGCCCTCGTGGTGGGCTGGTGGCGGGTCCGTTTGTAGCCGTGTATCCCCAGGAAGCTGTGAAAACTGGGGACAGGGAATGGGGAACGGGAACAGTTGGATAATGGACCTTTCCACAGTCCCAGCCCTTTGGTGAGATCCTCCCTGGGCCAGTCTGAGATGCCTCCAACATTTGTAGCTGCTGGGGTTTGTCTCAGCGCCGTTAAGCTCCTGGCTCGTTGGTTTTGCGTGGGACGTCGCGGGCTGGGGCTTGCAGCCTCCCCAGGGAGAAGCCGCGGGGCTCGGTGAGGAAGGAGGCAGGTCCCTCCCTTGAGCTGGCCGCGGTGCACGGGCTGAGCCGGTGGCTTTTTCCTGTCTCGCCGAGCAGTTGGGTGCTGTTTCATGCTCCCTGGGGATGAGATGCCCCCGGAGCTGGCAGCAGCCCCAAGCAGAGGTGCAGGAGATGGGGAGAAAGGTGAAACAGGTCCCAGCTGCCCACTGGGATTCCCCCACCGATGCCCCAAAACCCTGCAGCTTTGCAGTGCAGGGAGGATGCTGACAGCACAGTCCCCTGCCACTGCCCCATCCATGAGCACCCCCTCCCCAAATCCCCCCAAAACTCAGCTCGAGGGGGTGGCGAGTGCCCCTCTGGCATGCAGGAGCCCCAGCTGAGCCTGGATCTTGCTTTTGACAGGTAAATGACCCAGCGCTGAGACCCGCGGGCCTTTACTGCAACCAGCTTTCCTCCACTGACCTTTTGAAAACAGAAGCAGATGGGGCGCAGGTCAGTAAGAAACTGCTAAGCGCATCTCAGGTACCCCGAGGAGTTTCACGGGTTCCCCCCCCATAAAGGCTGAACGTCCCCGGCCGTACCGGCTCGGCACGCTTGCTTTCCACCGGGGCCGGCCCCGGTTGGCAGGGTTGAGTTGAAGCACACCACAGTCCCGCCAGTGCTGGGGGACGGCCAGCCCTCGGGGACGCCGGCACCGCTCACAAACCCTCTTTGCATCAAAGCTCACGCCGCTGCCGTGAGCATTTTCGGCCTCCTTGCTGGCGTGGAAGAGTGGTGACGCCGCAGCTGAGCTGGAAAAATAGACGAGCGCTGGTGCTAAACACCCCTCGCCCCCGGCTCCGGGCTGACAGCGAGCAGGGAGGGTTTCTTTCCTAGGCTCGGCCATCACCGGAGCGGCCGACGGCCCCTGTGCTGCCACGGTGCAGCCAGGCCGCCACGTTAAAGCGCGGCAGAGTGAGGAAATTTGGATGGGGGAGGCTGCGGGGGCGGCGTCCATACCTGCGGGCAGCGCTGCCAGATGCTGCCTGTCCCTCTGAGCAGCACCGAGCACCACCAAAGTGTGCCCAGCCGCCCGCCGCCGGCACCGATGCCTCCGGCTCCCGGGGACGATCCTGTTCAATCCCCGTCTCATCCGACACCCGCCGGCGTCACGGCGTCGCCTCCCCCTTCCCCGTAGCGCAGCCTTGGTTTCGCAGAGCCCATAGGGACGCACCGGCAGCACCACCGAGACACACCAAAGCTCTTAATTTTGATCAAACAGCCGCGCTGGACCTCGTTCACCACCCCACAAGCACCGGCACGGCCACCACGCCGCGGCTCCTCTTCACCCAGGGGATGCCAGGCTGGGCTTCTTTTTGGTTTTTTCCCCCCCAAAAAAGCCTTTTTTTTTTTTTTTTTTGGATGAGCAACGTTATGAACCTCGCAGAGCCGAATGAGTTGCAGCGGTTTTCTTTTTATAGGACAAGAAGACAGAAGAGTTCTTCTCTGGGGTGGCTCCAGACTAGAGGAAGTCTCTAGTGAGTTTCCACTTCACGTAGTACCCAGATCCGCCGCCGCCGGCCCCTGCCCCGGCCCCGCTAAATCCCCTCTTCTCTTTTGTGTCCCAGCAGGTACAACAGGTTCAGGTCTTTGCCGATGTACAGTGTACAGTGAATTTGGTAGGAGATCCCTACCTCAACCCGCCGGCTCCCTTGGGCACCCCGAAAAACGCCGCCGGGCCACCGCCGCCGCCGGGCCAGCAGAAGAGCCTTCTTCAGCAGCTACTGACTGAATAATCGCTTTTCGAGGAATGTGAAATTTAAATAAGAAGACGTACAGAGATATATAAATATATATATTATATATTTTTCTGAGATTTTTGATATCTCAACCCGCAGCCATTCTTCAGCTCGTAGTGTTTGGAGCAAAAAGGGGTTTTTTTGTTTTATTGGGGGGGTGGGGTTTTTCCCCCTTTTTTTTCCCTCCCCTCCCCTTTTTTCCCCTTTTTGTTCCACTTTTTTTCCCCTTTCCCCCCCTTATTTCCCCCCCCCTTTTTTTTTCTTTTTTCTTTTTCTTTTTTTTTTTTTTTTAAAAAGCATTGGATGTCGGCGAAGCGACGAGGCGGGACAGTTGGTTTCTCGAGCCAAAATTACAGATGATTCTTATTTTTGTAATCATTTTGCTGGCTTCTTAATCTGGAGGAAGGTTTCTCGGGGAGGCGGGGAGGGGGAGAAGGCAGCTGGAGGACTGCGGCGGCGGCAGGAGGAGGAGGAGGAAGAGCAATCTCAGTTTCAGCTGGATCTGTCACTGATCACGTCTCGGCGCGGGGCACGGAAGGGGATCGGCGCTGGACTTCTGCGGGAAAAGCCGGTTTTTTATTCACGCTTAAACAAAACCCCTTCTCTCCCCTCCGCCCCAGCCCGCTTGTGCGTACAATCAGCTTTTTCTAGCAATCGTGAGTTTGTCGGTTTTAAAGAAAAAAAAAAAAAAAACACAAAACAGAGTATTTTGACCCACCATTTTTTCCATGTTTTATGCTGGTTTCAGGCCTCCGAGCGAAACGGGGAGGGGGGCTACAATGTGTATATTACAACAGGAGGAGAAAAAAAAAACAGACAAAAAAAAGACAAAAAAAGAACAGTTTGGGGAAAAAACGGCAATAATTTTTAGGGGGAAGGATGGGGGGAGGGGTCTGTCAATTATTGTAGATAAAATTTTCTGATTAAATATTAAATAAAATTAAGCAGTCGGTTCTTTCTGCTTTGATTGTGTTTAACAGCTGAGGTAGCTTAAACTATTTAAAATAATAATAATAAAATAATAATAATAATAATTGAATTCTCTGTTGGGAGATAGCTTATTTTTTTTCCCCTCAAGCCTGTCACTGTAAATAGCTCTGAGCTCTGTATAAATTTGTTTTCTTCTCTTTTAGTTGGGGGTCGCTTTTAATATTCACTGCTGACTTTTATGGGGGGAGGGTGGCTATGGGGGATTTTTTTTTCCCTCTAAAAATTGCGCTGGTGTGTGGAAAAATGTGTAGCTTTGTTGATTGACATTTGCAAGAGTTAAAGATGACAAAAAAAAAACCCCAAACAAACAAACAAAAAAAAAGAACCAGAGTTGCCAGCTAACGTTTCGTTGTTTCTGTGCCGATGGGGATGCCGGAGCGGTGCCGGGGCTGTTTGCTGGGGCAGGAGGTGTGGGCAGCCGGGGTCCTCGCACCGGGAACCCCTCTTTCACCGCGGTTCATCACACTGGGGAGAGCTGGAAATTAGCCGGTGTGCGGAGTTTGGTGGCAAAAAACAGCATCTTAAACCTGAAAGCGCTACAGAGAAAATATATATAGAGAGAGTGTGTGTGTGTGGTTATTAGTCACCGAATTCACCGCTGGAGCACGGCACCAGGGTTTCGGCGCTCGGTTTTGTGGGGAAATGCTCCCCAGCACCGCGGTGGGGTGTTCAGTGGGGGGCTGCCGTCGCAGGGGCTTGCCGACGTGCCTAACACCAACGTGGAAACGCTGCTTGGGTTGGCTTCGGCAGCGAACAGCAAGAGAAACAGCGCACAGCTCCTGCCTCAAGCCCTAAATTCAAGGCCACGAAGAGCTGCTCTGTGCTCACCTTCAGCTCTGGAAAAGGGGAAACTGCGGGGCCTGGGAGGGGGCAGGGGGTGACAGTGGCATTAACAGCACAACCAGGATGGGGAGAGGTGGGGCACATGCACTTCTAGCTGACAACGCACTTTTTTTTTTTTTTAAACTAAGTGGCTCATTTCAAATACTTTTATTGTAAACGAGGCCGAACACAGCAGAACGAGGTCTGCAGCGAGTCCTGGCTCGATGGCCAATGCTGCCGTCTGCTGTCTGCGTGGCTCCCGGCAGGGTTTCATCGCGCGGTTCAGTGCGAATAAAATCATGGACAAACCGGCCTCGCTGGTGCGGGAGGAAAAAGCGATCTGGCATGGCTCCGCAGCCACGGAGCGAGGGGTGGAGGTGGGAGAGATGCCGGGAGCATGGCCACACCAGCAGCAGAACCAGCGCCAAATCCACGGGGAGGACCAGAGCCGCCGGACAGCTGTGCCTACACCCAGGCCCTGCTTGTGGAGCTCGGGCATGGGGAAAACAGCCATCAGGATGGACGGATGGGGAAGCTCAAAGGGCCGCCCAAGGGAAAACTCGCCCCTAAAAAGCAGGAGAGACATTTTCAAGTTTGCCTGTGCTGGCAGGGGGACGACCTGCAAGCCCACTGCCTGTAGACAGCAGGTTAATATAACACATAGTCACATTTCTGCACAGAATAACATTTAATCCTCCCCACCAAAGAACCGTTTCACACCGTGTAACTGCTATCACCACGCGAGGAGAAGACTACCTGCTGCTGAGCATTAGCACAGCACTCCCAAGACACAGCAGCTTTCCTCCCGGCGCCTGTCTGGGGGTGACCTCGGCTCTGGCTCAGGAGGAGAGCTGCCCGTGCCCGTTCCTGCTCACTTCAGCAATTTAAATTTCTTCAGGTGCTGGTGCACTTGGTCCTTTGGGTAGGGCCTGAGCGCCAGGCAGGTGGCCATGTTCTCAGGCTGCTCAGTCCACACTTCGTGGTCGATGCCGTGCTGCTTCAGGGTCTCTGCCAGCGCCGTCAGGGCGGCTTCATCCGGAGCCTGGGGAGAGACACAGACCGCTATGAGGGCTGGGGTGCGAGAGCAGCGGGGAAGAGGCCAAGCAAGGTAGCTCACACCGAGGACAGTGGCCAGCACAGGGAGGCAGCCACCTGCCTGCACACAGGTATGAGGATGGGCAATCCCCGTACTTTGTATCTTACCCAAAAGGCATTTTGTTCTTGCAGGCCCCGGGCTGCACCGCCAGCCTCTGCAAGCACTGGGGTGGGGGAGCTGGGCCTTGTGAGCCAACACAGGTTGTAAACCGTCAAAAATGCGTTGGTTTTGTTTTTTTTTTTTTCCCTGGACAGCTTGCCTGGCTCAGCGTCCTAAGGCAAACAGCTCTGCCCACGTCCACACAGAGGCTGCCCCGATCACCGCCATGAACACCACCCCCCTCACCACCCCCTGAAGGCTCTGCCGGACCCGCCTCAAAATGGCGGCCACCCGCTTCCCCAGAGCGGCGCTCCCGGCGTGCCCCGCGGCTCCCGTCCTGCCCCGCGCACCTCCAGCACGACGGTCCGCATGGCGCCGCCCAACTCCAGGTAGGCGCGGGTGTCGGGGTGCTGGCGGTGCGCATGCGCGGCTGCCAGGGCGGCGTGGCATCCCTGAGCCACTACCGCGCCCAACGGCCACGACCGCGGCGGGCGGCCCAGGTCCCCCCGCAGCACCACGTACTGTACCAGCGCCGCCGCCGCCGCTGCCGCTCCGGGCGCCGCCATGTTGCCGTACGGCGTCCGCACAGCCTACTGGGAGGGGCGGCCGCGCGCGCGGGGCGCGCCGGGAAAGGCAGGGCCGCCGCCATTTTGTTGTACGGCAAAAGGTAAGAAATGGCGTCGGGGGAGGCGGTGTCGTTCTGGCGGTGGGGATAGGCGGGCGGTTTGAGCGCTGGTTGCTGTGGTGAGTGCGGGAGACGTTGGGGAACCGGGCCGGGGGCGGGAGGGTCTCCCTCCCCGTCCCACCTCACCCCACCCCCTCCGTGTGAGGAGACCCCAGGTCCCCCCCGGGGCTGTGGCGGCTCCCCGGGCTCGTCCTGCTGTCGGAGGCAGGTGAATCCTGTCCCTTCCTGCACTCCCGAGGGGGTTTTTCCTTATGGGGCTGGTGTGAAACGGTGGCTGATAGAAAATGTTGGGTGATAATGTGTCTTTTCTGGTGATAACGTGTCTTTTCAGCCGTCGGCCGCTGGGATTGTGCCTGCCTGAGGGTCGGCCCGGGTGCTAGACCTGCCCTCGGTGCTTCTCAGAGTCCCGTTGCAGCTGCAGGAGGAAGAGGAAGGTCCCCTGAGGAAGAGCTCTGGCTGCTGGGACGGAGCCTGGCCAGGGAGGGCTGACATCTGCCTTCTTGCTCGCAGGAGAGCGGCGAGGAAAGATGGAGGAAGGGAAAAGGAATTCAGCAGAAGGTGAGCTCTCAGGGGTGCGCGGTGCAGGACATCCAAGTGCAAAGCATGTCCTCCTGCAGGAGTGAACCTGAAAATGTTTGGGGCTATTGGCTTGCTGAGTCAGGTAACGAGTCACTCTCGGGCAGTGGAGAGCATGGGGGCTTCAGAGAAGTCACTTCACTGCTCTGTGTGCCGGGTTAGAAGTAAAACTGGGAGTTACAGATCTATTGGGATCAGGACTGGTGCATCTGCTAGCTTGCTCTGCTTTCCAGGAGCTTAGCTAGCTGGTACAGGGTACCCCAGTGTTTAGGGTCTGCTAGCACTCAGCCTTGCTGTTTAAAATGGCCAGAAGCCTCTTCGCCAGATGTTTGCCTGCCCTCTGCCCCTTTGAAAAGCTATTGTAAGTGGTTTCTTTATGTAGCTGCACTGGACCTACTTTGTTTCATGTACCGCGGTGCAGACCACTAATAACTACAGCCTGGATTTTTGAGCCTGTCATGCTTTTCCTCGCAGGGGTGTTTGCTCACCTGGAAAGGCTGGAGGCACAAGCTCGTGAGGTAGCTGTGAAGCAAGAGAAAATGAAGCAGGAAGAAGAGAAGCGGGCCAGGCTGAAAGCGAGAGTGCGGGAGCTGAGACTCCAGAGGGATAAGCTGCTGGCTAAAGTGCGCCTGCAGAAAAAGGTAGTGAGAAAGGGCTTGCTGCAGAGATCTACAGAGGGCTCAGGCGTGCTCCCACTTTCAGAGGGTGGATTTACTGAGGGTATTCATATAGAGTCAACTATTGGGTTTTTATTTTCCCTTTTTAAGTGACATACAGTCCTGGTGTCCTCTCTTTTCAGTACTTTGTAGTCAGAACTGCTGGGTCTACTTGCTTGGAGGTTGTGTAGCCATTTCCGAACTCTTTTCTTGATTTTATTTTTTTTTTTCCCCCTTCCCTCTTCTGCTAGAAATGCCATCTTGCTTTTCTCAGAGCACGGTTATTATTTCTCTGTATCCTGACTGTGTTCCCTGCAGGTGACACATTTGTGTCAACAATTTTTGACCTCTCTTCTCTTCTGGCTTTTGTAGCAACTTAGGGAAAAAAGAGCCATGTCGGATCCAGCAAAGTCTGGTGCTCGGGCTGTTTTGGAGTGGAAGATAAAAAACATTAAGGCCATGCTGCAGGTCTCTTACCTCACAGGTAATGTCTCGAGATTTGCATGTGTTCTGCCAACAGCTGCATTTCTGGGGTGCTAAATTTTGGAAAATGAGGCTGATGTGAAGTGTAACTTCCCTGTTAACATTGCTGCAGTTGTGCTTGAAGCCATTAGAGTCTGAAAATGCTGGAAGAGCAGTAACCTTGTAATTCCATGCCTTTCACAGGAGGCCTCTGGGATGTTCCAGGAACTATTATTTGCTGAACAGTATCATTTAAACTAAGGTCTAGATTCTGGAAAACGTACAAATGAAATCTTTGGGAATTAGGCAGTTAAATATCCAGTGGTCTGGGTCTTCCAAGCAAGCTTGTGAGGTCAGCACCCTCTTTTCATCTGGTCCTGAGCTTTTTAAAAAAACTTTGCTTTCCAACAAGAGTCACCTTTGCTTTGTGGTCTGGGCAGTGCGAGGACATGAGCCCTGCTTGATGCAAAGGGGCTGAGCCCCCGCCTCTGTGAGTGCTCCTGCCGCTTTCCTTGGCGCAGTGAAGTGCTGCCTGCCTCCACTGAGGGCACCCTGTTCTCCCTGTCACGTTGGAGCCAGGACTGTGTTAGAAATTGGCAGCATAGCTCAGTTATTGGGAATTGAAGCTACCATTAAGCTGCTTGAATTCCCTAGAGGTCCCTTATTAAAAAGTTGCTGTGTTTTATGTCCCTAAACTGTTGCAAGTCTTTAATCCTCTGAGGCAGCTCCGTGAGCTAGCCTAGTAAGAGGATGCAGCCCCTCTTGCAGTCTTGGGTTGCCCCAGCAAAGCTGCTGTGTGGTGATGAGTTAGAGTAGTGCTGAGTAAACCCTCTCTCTCCGGACCCAAGGGATCAATGGGAAGCGGACCAAGCAGGGAGTGTGTTTCTGCATCAGCACGGCTTATGAGAGCACCTACTTGGATTCCTACTACGTGCACCTTCTCGTCAAGCCAGAAGTGCAGATTCACCAGCACTCTGTCCCCACCTTCATCCCCCTGGAGCAGATAGCCAAGCAGTACTTGCAGACGGACATTGGGCGCTTCTTGTCTGTCCTGTCAGACCACCTCAATGCTTATGCTGGGAGGAAGTACCAAGCAGACCAGTTACAGGTACCAGTGGCCGCAGTAATGCTGTTCACCCGTCCTTTTCCCTTTAATGTACCTAGTGTTATGAGCCTCTGAAGTGCTGGGGGGGAATTTGGCAGTTTTCTTTACGTGGAGCACTCACGGCTCTTGTTTTTCAGAACTTCACAAATTATCGTGTGACTATAAACTCAGTTGCCTGTTCTGTCGATTGTCACGTACTTGGATGTTGTCTGGTGGCTCATTTAAAATTTACTGCCAAACTCCAGAGGTCCCTAAGCTGAAATAGCTGTCATCTTGTAAAGAGCCTCTGGAGGATGTGGCTTAAGGGCATGCATGAGCACTGATTTATTTAAGTCTTTCCCACACAAGGGTTTTTGCTTGACGTATGGGAATGCCAGGCTGGTATGAGGATGGGGGCACTGCACTTGGCAAGCTCCCAGCCCTGTGCTGATGGACTCCCTTCCTAGCTTCATGTTTCACAAGTTGTCTTTGTCCCTCCAGGAACACTTTTCAGACCAGATAGAAGGAACCTTGCAGAGGAACTCCTTGTGTAACTTGCTGGTCTTTAATTACAAGGTGTCAAGTAAAAGCAAGACCTTTCCGTTCAACGCGAGGCTGCTTTATGGAGATCTCTGTTGCAGCCTCCCCACTGAAGTCAATGTCTCCTGCACACGTAAGTGGATGGTGTGGGGGTCTGTTTGGGGGTGTGGGGTAGGCAGACTGTACTGTGGTTCTGCAGATGGATGGGGTTTCTTTCTAGTTGAGTTTGGAGACAAAAGGGAGCAGGCTGCCATATTTCTGAGGGATAAAAGATTATAGAAGGGGTTGTGTGCCATCGGTGCTGAGTCTTGAGGCAGTTGTAACTCATCCCTAGCACGAGAGCACAGATCTCTTGCAATACTGGCAAGATGAGATGGCTGGAGGGAGGGAAATAGAATGGGGCTGAGGAAGGAAAGTGCAAGCTTGGATCACTTCAGATGGACGGGCTGCTCATTCCCAGTTTGCAGTTGCTCAGAGTGCAGACTCCGGTATGGTCCTAGCAGGATCAGGATGCTGTTTTCACAAGTCTCCCAGATAGAGGCCAGCCTGTGCTAGTGCACTCTGCATGTGTGGGAGAGCCTGGCAAGCAAGCACAGCCAGAAACTTAGAAGCCGCCAGTCTCAGTCACAGTGATAGTTTGTTCCAGTCGACTTATGGCCTTGGACTTGTTTCCAATCCTTGAAAACCTGGCACCCAGCCCTGTGACCTTTCTGTAGGGTGGGAGTTACTTGTAAGCAAATAAGACAGGATCTTTTTAGCATTAGGAATTTCTCTCTCTCAATGCAATCAGATAAATGGTTAATTGAGGCCTGGTGTTGGGCAGCCAGGCCCTAACTGCCCCTGCTGCACTATTAGGTGTGCTGGCACATACTGCAGTGCAACGGTAGAGAGAAGAGAGGCAGGAGGGAGGTTTATGACCCCTTAGAAAGGGTCAGGGATACTGTGAAATACTCCTAACAAAGATCTCTGCCTGAAAAATCTTTCCCCAACACCACCTGCTCCCCCTCCTCTGTATCAGTAACTCTACCTCCTCCTGGTACGGCAAAGACTGACCACAGCGCTGAGTGACTTGTGCAACCCTAACGCCGTGGCACGGCTTAATCCTGGATCTGCACTATTTTGTAACTGGTTACTACAAATGCCAAACTGGGCTTAGGAATCGTTTGCCTGTTTGTCTCCCCGTGTTTCCAGCTGCACTGTGTCCTGCTCACGGCTGGCTGGCTGGGCTGCAGAGCATGTGGACCAATGTGCAGCTAGATGGAGCTCTGAACAGAGCAGCTGGAACTAATAATCTCTTCTCTCTGCCATCAGTCAGGGTCTCACGCCTGCTTCCGCGAGCTACTTGGCTTGCAGTTAGGCTGGAGGAGGAGTCGTGCACTGTATCAACAGTTCCCCCTCTCCTTTCCTGGCGGTAGCCATCCCCTTATAGGTGAAGCTCTGCCCTTGCTCACAAATTTCTGTGTCTGTTGAGCTAAGAGAGCAACTGAGTGGCTGAGGCTCCCACATTACTGTCCTTACCCATCACCAGTGGGTGTTTCTTAAGGCACTTGCACTTTCTGCAGCCATCAAATCCCATGGGGATGCTGCAGGACAAGGGTTAGGAAGGAGAGAGAGAAGGGTTATGAGACGGAAAACTGTATGGCAAGGGAGAGTGAAAGACTCCCTAGGGACAAGGGAAGAATGAGAAGCAAATAGTTTTATGCTGAAAATGTAATTTTCCTTTCCCCACTAATCTGTCTGCTTCTGTCTGCCAGCGGATGCACCTGCATCTCTAGCGGAGATGGCAGCAGCTCACTCGGACCTGTTTAGCCGCGTGGCCCTGCACAAAGCCTTCCGCTCCTTCAGCAGCGATGAAGAAAGCATGGATGGAGCACCATAAGCCACCCGGGCTCTCCTCAGTAAAACACCTTCCCAAGCTTCCCTGCCTGTGGGGAGCGATCTCGAAATGTGTGTTTTCTCCATGGTCTGCAGCACTGCTACTGGGAACCCCCTGAGGATCTATGGGCCCAGTTTGAATCTTGAGAGTGATGTTTTCTTGAGGCTTTGGGTGCCTGTTGTTGCAGGTAATCTTTCCTTAGCACTGTGCTTCTTGCTTCCTTTGAGTGCCTCTTGTTGCAGGTAATCTTTCCTTAGTGCTGTGCTTCTTGCTTGTTCGAGTGCTGATTTCTGCGGTTGGTGCCGCAGAACTTCACAGTTGCAGGAAACATCTCGCAGCTGGAATCAGAAACTATGTTAAAACTTCAGGGTCTTGGTGCTTTGGGGGTGATGCCCTATGGATCAGCACCGTGCACTTAACCAGTGCACCTCAAAAAGACGGGAACAAGCAGAATAGTCTGTAGCCTGCTTACTACAGCCAGGAAAGGACTTTATATTAGAAGCTGGAAGGGGTTGAGGGACAGAGGTGACGTTCAGTTATTGCCAGCAGCAGCCCATGCCCTCGTGTGGGCTGCCTTAACCCCCCCCCCCCCCCCCCACACAAACACACAACTTTCCAGAAAATTTCACACCAGCAGTAGCTCTACACATGCTGTTTCCTTCAGGCATGGGGCAGCTTTGCTGGTGTCCTGTCCTGTTGTGCTTCAAATCTCGATGAGATCCTTAAAATCTTGCTGTTGTGTCACAGTATTTTTTAAACTTCTTAATAAAAGTTCTGTGTTACTGAAATTGTGGTGTTTAAGAAATCTTCTGTTGATTTTAGCTGTGTAACACATGGTTTAAATGACAGTATTTTCTTCCATCTCATTTTTATGCCAGTCCTACGTGTGATAAGGCCCAGGGAAAGCACTTCATAATTTTTTAAATTTTTTCTGTAATCATGAGAGCTCCGTGTCCAGATTGAACTGGACAACTTGTTTAAATGTGACCTCCAGCTTTTGAGTGTCGTAGCTCCAGGTAGCGATTCCTGCCCCTAGTATTCAGAGCTTCTCACAGAGGAAGGCTCTCAAGGCTGAGCCTTTGCAGCTCAAGCCGCTTTAGAAGAGCCGACAGCCCCAACAAGGGAGAGGCATGAATGCCACCGACGGACAGGAGGTGCTCAGCCCTGGCACCAGCCTCCCCTTTGATGATCCCTCCAAAACCGACATCCCCTCGTAAGGGTGGTCAAACCCTTCTTGAGGTATCCACAACCCCCAGAACAAAGCAGGCGTAGAATCGGGCTTTGAAATTCAACTGCTTCTATTCAAGAAACTAGCAGCGTAATTACACTCTGCGGGTGCCTGCCTTCTCCCCCCGGCCCTGGCAAGCATCGGGTTTAACACACCAGTCCCCTCCTCGGCCAGTCCCTGGTCCTCTCTTCCATCGAGCAACAGCAAAGTGACAGCAGCCGACTGCAGCGTCTGGGCAAGCGCGAGCCCCGCCGCGGGGAGGGAACGGGTCACAGTTAAAAATATTAATGTCAATCTGTACTCTTATATATATTTATATATCTGAAATACACAATATTGGTTCCTTTTTCTTCTTCCCCGAGTCAAAGGCGGCACTGCGCTCTCCATCTCCCCGATCTCCTAACTACGGTGGTTTGTGACGAGGATGAACTTAGTACGAACTAACAGCAAACCCCGGATGCTCCCGGTTTGTAGCTACCGCTCCCGGCACGTAGGAGAGACGTGATGTCTTCCCATCCGGCCCTGAGTTTGGATCTCCTCGTGCCAAGCGCGCGGTGGCCGGGGCCCATGATGCTACTTTTAATGTTGCGCTGCGCACCCGGCGCGGCTGATGGTGCGGCTGCTTGCCCGGTGAAGCCCGGGACGCCCGGGGAAAGGCAGCGCGTGTCCCCGGCCCCGTGCCCGCCGGGGGCCGCAAGCTCGCTTGCGTGCGAGCGTGAACGGCCGGAGGAGCCCACCGGGGCAGCCCCCGGTCTCCCTCCTGCTCTGCCGCAGGCGCGATGGAGCAAACTCCCCCAACCAGAAACCTCCGGCAGGGCGGGGGGGGGGCTCGGAAAGGGTCGTGCGAAGGGGTTGGTTTCTCAAGTTTGGTTTCGGATCCGGACCGCGGTGGGATGGATCCCCCACCCCGGAGCCGCCCCGCTTGGCGCCGGGAGGCGGTGGCTGTGGTGGCGGGCGGGCGCCGGACCCTCACGAGCTGTCCACCACCTGATGGGGCAGGGTGACGGAGGAGCCGTTGACGAAGGAGCCCTGCTTCTCCCGGCCCTTGAGGAAGAACGTGAGCAGCTCCCCTTTGCCCTTGACGTAGATGGCTCCCCGGCGCACGAAGCGGAAGCCGTACTCCTTCAGGATGAGGTGGGTCTCCTCCACCACCTGTGGGGACAAGTGGACACAGTGGGAGGCTGGGGGGGGGAGGGGGTCCTTGCCTGGCATGTGACATGGGTAGCAGGAACCCCCCACGTGCCACTCGGACAACAGGTCTACCCACCAGCTTGGCTCCCACCACATTGTCTTGGGGTGCCCTTCTCTGAGCATCACTTTACCCCATTCCCAGCTCGTAGGAGACCCTCAGCCAGCCCCCACCCTCCCGTGTGCTCCTGCCAGCACTTTCCCCCTCCCACCCAAAGCCTGGGGTGTTTTGAGGGCCGCAGCCCCACCATGGGTTGCCGATTTGTCACCCCTTCGTCGCTCTACCTGTATGTTCCCCATCACACCGGTGGACTCCATCCTGCTGGCCACGTTCACTGTGTTGCCCCAGATGTCGTAGTGTGGTTTGCGGGCGCCAATGACGCCCGCCAGCACGGCCCCCTTGTTCATGCCTGTGCAAGACAGGGAGCAGGCATCACCTCCATGCCTGGTGACACGGACAGGGCATCCTGGTCTGCAGGAGTCTGTCCCACAGGATGGGTTTGGGGCAATGAGGTCCCCCACCAGCCCTGCTGCCTTCAGCTGCTGAACTACAGCTGCTGCCCAGCATTCCAGCGCTGGTGGGGAAGGAGGGACAGGGGACGCCGAGGCAGAACTTGCCCCACACTCCCGGACTTGCCTATGCGGAGCATGAAGTTGTTGAAGGACTGGTAGTTGATGTTCATCAGCGTCACCTTCATGGCTAAGGCAAAGTCGGCCAGGTCGGCCAAGTGCTGCCAGCGCTCCTTATCCGAGAGGGTCTCCTTCTGCAAGGGCAGCGCGGGTCAGGCCTGCCCATCCCTTGCCCGCTGTCCCCCCACCATGGTGACTCCTCACCTTGGCGCTGTAGCCATTGGCGTTGGCATCGGGGGTCACTCCAGAAGCGGCCATGTAGGTACTGCCGATGGTTTTGATTTTGGTGATGCACCGGAATTGGGGTTCGTCCAGGAGCTGAGCCATGGAGACAAGACCCTCAGGCACCTTGGGGCCATGGCAGGTCCTTCTGCCCCCAGATGGGGCAGGAAGGGAAGGTCTGGCCAAGGCCCGCACCACCCCCATGGCCGGCTCCATCCCGACTCACCGCGTCGAAGTCAGAGATGATCTCATTGAGGAACCGCAGGCACTCAATGCCCCCATTATTGATGCTCTCCTCCGTGTAGAAGTCGGCAAAGTTGGGGAGGGAGGCAAACATGACACCAATCTCATCATAGGACTGGCTGTACAGCTCCTGGGGATGGGATGGGACGGTGGCCGCGAGCCGGGGACATGCCCATGCATGACACCGGCACCTCCGGTAAACCCAAACCCTCCCGTGAAGCCACCTTCCCTTGGCACATGTGAAAAAATGAGGGTGCTCCGCAACCTCACCTTGCATGGCCAAGACATCATCTTCATCCAACCAAAGATGCTCCAGAGCCTATGGAAAAGCCTCCGGATCTGGACCATGCCCCCCCCCACCTCCCTGCCTTCAAAATGGGGGCAAATACCCCCTCCTGGGTGCCCCTCACCTCGTCCCGCTTCTTGGAGCCCAGGAAGTGCCGGGCAACGTGCTCAGGCAGCATGTTGGTGACGAGGGCCTCATTCCAGCGCCGCATCTCGTAGACCCGCTCCTTCTGGTCATGGACATCGATCTTCCAGAGGAAGAGGGTCCTGGCCAGCTTCTCCACCTGTGGGTGGAGGGATACGGCTCCACCCCCAGTTCCCAACCACCAATGGGTCCCCTCCAACGCTGGGAGCATCCCGGCCACTGTGGCACTGGTCTGGGCTTGGGGATAGCCTGGAAGAAGGTTCTGGGACAAGGTGAAGCCCTAACTGGGGACATGAGACCTGCTCCGAGGTACAAATGGGACCCTTGCAGGATAAGCATGGGTCTTAGGGCCACCATGTTGCTGCCCACCCCTAACCATAGGGGCGAGATAAAGGTGTTCTCTGCACTGATGTGGTCCTGGAGAGCCCTTGGGTGGGCTTCCTTGGAGAAGAGCCAGAGATGCTGTTCACAGCTGGGGACAAATCCTGCTGCCTTGGAGCTTGCAAGAAATAAGGGCAGGGACTAAGGGTGAAGACGCAGAGGGGAGGGGAGCTTCCTGAGGTGGAGGGGGGCGAGTCACTCACGTGGCGAGAGAAGTAGTAGAAGCTGAGCATCACGACGAAGATCATCGCCGTCATGGAGTACTTGGAGGGGACCAGCGAGGACCTGCCAGCAGAGGTGGCAAGGCATGGGTGGGTGGTGGGCATGGCTGTGCCCCTCAACCTGTGCCCACCAACCCCCCCGCCACCCCTTACATGCTTTGCTGGCCACGGCGACGGTCGTACTGGTCGAAGATGTGCTCCCAGGCGTAGATGTTGACGGCGCCGGTGGCCCCGGTGATCAGCACCATGAGGGTCAGCTTGACCATGTGGCTGACCTGCACCAGCATGATGGTGGCCACCAAGGCCAGCAAGGCGATGTAGCTGTAGTACTTGGGCTGCTCCCTGCAGCCACCCAGCTGCGGTGGTCCCATTGTCCTGTTGCCCATCCCACCGTGGTCCTGCCGGCAGCTGAGCTGGGGGCACGAGAGCAGGGTGAGGAGGGGGACACGGGGACAGGGTGCACCTCTCCATGGGCTGCATGGCCACCTAAAGGGACAGGGTGCTTTGCAGAGCAGGAGGAGGAAACCCAACCTAAATTTTGCCCCCCCTACAGTGCAGCCCTGCTAATTGCTTTAACGATCGGCCGTGCACAATTATGGGCTGCTTGGCTGGAGGCTGGAGCAGGCTCAGCCCTGCTGGCAACCGGGCCATTAGCTCACCATGTCCACAATGTCGGCCATAGTTACAATGATGATGGCGGCCATGGCCCAGGTGTTGCGTGCCCAGCGGGTCCTGTCGATCCAGGTGGAGAAGGCCACGAGCTTTTTGGGGAAGACCTATGGGGAGAGGAAAGTGGGGGGGTTCGCCCAGGCAGGACACGGTGATGGGACATCATGGTGTCCCATCACTATGAGTGAGTGGTGACCCCATCCCGTCTCACCCGGGGGAAGATGGCAGCCAATGAGCAGAGGGTGAGGATGAGCAGCAGGATTTCCCCCACCACAAAAGTCACGTAGTTGGCCACCAACCTGCCAAAAAGGCCAAGAGGGAATGGGTTTGAAGCCGGGCAGGGCCGAGCGTGGCTTGAGGCCACCCTTCCCCACCACCTCCCTGCCTTACCAGGGGTCGATGAAGACTTCCACCAAGGCAGTGAAGAAGAGGACAACGCAGGAGCAGCTGAAGGCGGCCCCGCTCTGCTTCTCCTTCTCCACCGAGTAGCGCGTCTCCATTTCGGGGTCAATGAAGCGCATGGAGAGCCGGAAGGTGCTCTTCCCCTT